CTGAGATGCACTGATATTGCCTGTCTTTAGCTATGTGCCCATCCAGTCACTCTCTTTTGCCAGGAGAAGTTGTGCAAACTGCCTTAGGCCTGAGTTATATACTCATCTGGGGATGGATAGTCACTGTGGTTTGGGAAGTGGGCTCATGCTAACTGGATTAAGCCAGTCAAGATCCATACTTCGAATGGGGAGTGGTGTCAATCCCACTGCAAACCATAGGGTTGAGAATAGGGAGAGGGTTGATTTCAAAAAGGAAAATTGGAGTACTATTGCAAGGAAGTGAGGGGAATACTTGCTAATCACCTGGTTTGGGACCCGAATGCTGGCAAATAATAATGGTAATAGCTAATATTTACTGAATACTAACTATGATCTAGGCAGTCAAATTGCTCTATAAGTGTATTGGTAGAGAGGATGTGTTTGGCTGCATCTAATAAGGTAAATGAAATAGCAGAAACCTAAAACAGAGGGTTGCTTTTTATCTCACAATAGGTGATATGAAGTCAGGAAAGAAGCTTCATATTGTCATTTATGTCTCAGGCTCTTCCTTATATCTTTCTGCATTATCACTTTCAGGGAGGCTGTCTTCCTAATGCACTCAAGAGCGCTCCTCCTCTCCTCCAGGCATTGTGTTTTGGTTACAAACAGAATGGGGGAAGGACAAAGAGGAAAGGGCCCAAGACAGCTGAGTCTGTTTTTTTTGTTGTTGTTTTTTTGTTGGGTTTTTTTTTTTTTTTGAAATCAGAGAAATAGCTTTTCTGGGAGCCTCAGCCAGTGGATTTCTGCTTATATCTCATTGGCCAGAACTGTGCTACATGAACACCCCCAACTGCAAGGGAACTTCGCAAATCAAGTTTTGTTGGCTGAGTCCATTGCCACCTACAACAAAATTGGGGTTTTATTGGTAAGAAAGAAAGGCAGAATGAATATTGGTTAGGCATCTATTGGTGGCTGCCACAATACATATTAACTCACTTATTCCTTATATCAACCCAGTGTGGTAGATACTATTACTATCTTGGTTTTCTAAGAAACAGGCACAGAGAAGTTATGTAATTTTCCCAAGCTCACACACAGCTGCTAAGCAGTATAGCTAGAATATAACGCCAAGCAATCTGACTCTAGAACCACATTCTATTATGGCCCCCAGGCACATCCTGACCCAGAGGCCAGACCGCATTTCTTCTCTAGGACATGTATCCATTCGGAAATGTAGGTCTCGCCTAGAAAAGGTAGTATTTGTTTAGCACTTTATAGTTTATAAAGAATTTTTCACTTAGATTATTTCATTTATATATTATCCCCATTTCTTAAATGAGAAAACTGTGGCTCAGAGAAGTTATGTAAGTTGCCTAAGATCCCTAGGTTGTAACTGGCAGAGCTGATATTTCCTTGAAATTTCAAGAACTTGCTTTTGGTCACCTTTCCTAATCTCCCTACTCTTCTGGGCACAGAAGACTTCATTTAAAAAATTTTTAAATGGCAATATTTTGTTATAGGCCCTATATTAACTTCACAACCTTTTCTGGAAAAACAATCCAGAGAAATCTTGGATCTCTCAGCAACCTGTTTTCATAGTATTCTTTTCACGTAGCCACACCAGCAACAATGGCAG